ATTCAATGATTATTCTCTATGAAAGTGAAGAATAACTGTCATATGAAATATATGTATATTACCCAAAATTTAACTATACCGTAAAAGGTTTGTAAAATTATCATTCTTGAATGCAACTATAATATCTTTGATCAAGATTACATACCTTCTCCAAATCATCATATATCTCTTCTAGAGTAGCAGGATCTTTCATTTCAATTCCTGCTTTTTTTATATCTCTTCTAATATCGTACGAGGTCGTATTTCGGTATTTATATCTAAGAATCATTGAAATTAACTGCTATTTCTCTTATTTCAATGTTATAAAATTTAAAAATCTAACCTTAATAATTACCTTACTTCCGTAACTTCACGGAGTGCAAACGAACCTCCTATTACGAGTACCATAAATGGTACAAAATATCGAAATGCTGTTGATTTTAAAAATTTTGATATCCTACTATGCATTCTACTATAAAATATTACGTTACGTAGATGCTCATGAGTAACCCACAAAATGCGAGGTTATGTTTCCCTTTATTTCAGTCACATAAGCATTGTAAGTTGCATACCATGCACATATAATGTATGTATGATGCTATGTGTAGTTTCAATTATGTAATAACATGTAATGTACATATATAATTCGCAGATATCCTACATATGTAATATCTGATCCGTATCAATAAAAATTCATATTACGTATGTAATTTAATAAATACTTCTTATTCCTAAAATGGTCATTTTATCTATGGAAATCTATGGAAATTATCTATGGAAAGCAGACGACATACAGTTCCACACGTTCTGAACGTAATTCAATGTATGTAATTGGTTACAGGTTTAAAGTGGGTTTCACATGTTCAAGCATGTCTTGAATCAATATGTAACTAGAAACAGAGAATCAAATAAGTGTTCATTTTTGTCGAAGGTTTCGTTAAGATTGACCGATTTTTCATGAAACTGAGCATGAAATCAAGGTAATGAAAAAAAATAAAAATTTTACATGAAAAATAATGAACAACAAAGTTAAGTAAATGCTGCCGGAAATGCACGAGGGATATTGAATCGATCAGTAATTGCAGATAAAACGGCGCTCGGCTAAATTCGGTTGGTCGATACTGAGAATCGGCGATTCTCGGCCCGTTGGAAGTGGCGAATAGGTCATTGCACGGAAGTCGGTTCCTTTCGGTCTCTCAGGATAGGCTGTTCGTCGACGGTTCTCTAGTCACTCACGAATTCAACATTCCAAAGGCCGGGTCTTCTTACCGCCTCTCGACATTGTCCTCTGGTAAGTCGGACCGCTCGCTAGTGAAGATCGCGATAAATTAAAAGAAAATCGCCGAAATATCACGTCGATCGCGCGTTAACTTGTTTTTACGTTGAAGTATTTACGGGAATACAGTTCTTCGTGAATATTCGTAACATAATCAGCATGAAACTTGTACGGAACCGATGCCCGGTCATCGAGGAGGAACACGAGTAGTAGCCATTTTCTAGTGTTTCGGACGTTCTTCCGTCGTTACATATTTTCGGAGTAATTATCGACCTCTTGACAACAGAGAAATTGTAATTTTTCACGGGTTAATTTCAACCTTACTACCCTCTGCGAATGTCTTGTGGAACGATTTAGTATAACGCGTTACGTAATCCTGCGCTTCGTGCATTCAGTTCGTGGTCTATGGTTTTCGATATAGATTGTGCGCGCGTCTTACGTACGAACTTACGGCAGTATCTTTTATACGTTGCTGTTCCGACGTTTTCCAGATACTCTCTCTGCGACCACACAACGTCAAACGTCATCATGTTCGCTTGCACCCGATTCATCGCGCCCATTGCCAGGTCCACCGTGAGTAGAGAGGAACTTATTTTCATTTTTCCATTTTGTTCGTGATCTATGATTATTATATAACGAGACAACACCGTTTTACCGTAATTCTGGAATACTTTGTTCCGCAGTTGGTCGCTGGAACCAAGAGTTACATGCGGCCGCTGAGCAGTGCCGTGGTCAACCACAGCCAAATTCTCCAACAGAATCAAATCCAGAGCCCGGTAAGTGTTGTAAGTATCATTGACTTTTTTTACACATTGCATAACCTCTCCCATATTCGAGGTTACATAAGTGGTTTTATTCTTATAGCAGAACAGTTTTTGTGAATTAAAATAATAAATTAGTCATTGATTTTATATAGATAACAGCCATTCATGAACTAGAAATTTTTGTATTGACTTTGTGTGTTGATGCACATTAAAAATTACTGGTGCCATGGTATTCAGAATGTGCTATGAGCTGGACAAAAAGATCAATTATGCGGGCAGAACATTGAAATAAGATCTTTAAAATTTACATAAGGATTGACAAAGAAATAGTTTTATATAAAATTTATTTTATTTGAACCTAAAATTTTTAGTCTATTTTTGTTTTGTCTAGCTCACACAACAATTTGAAAACTGTTGCAGATGCAGTTTTATTAACAGGCTCATTTTTTCAGTGAAGATTGGATAAATTTAGATTGATTATACCAATGTATTGACTTAATATATAACATCAATGATAGTGGTTATATAAGTCATATTGTTGCAGTGTAGAAATACTTAGATAATCTAGAATTATTTTGGACCTTAAATACCTCATTACATAGAAGGATCAAAAATTAAATTCAAAAGATTCTATACTTCTATAATTTGTTTGTTAAACTCTACAGTCTTACATACAGTCATCTTATTATTCCTGCATAATTGGTATCAAAGTTATCTGTTTAATTATTTCCTGCAGTCACCTATTCTGCGTAACTTCCAAACTTCCACAATCAGCCGTGACATTGATTCTGCTGCCAAGTTTATTGGTGCTGGTGCAGCTACTGTTGGTGTTGCTGGATCAGGTACAAAATAATGGAAATCATATTCTTACTGTCCTTGATAACAAAAATTTTTTACAGACCTAATTCCTGTTTCTCATTCCCTTTATAATTGCTCTATATTTGTCCTTCTCCTTTTTCAGGAATTGGTATTGGATTAGTTTTTGGTTCCTTAATCATTGGTTATGCCAGAAACCCATCTCTGAAACAGCAAGTCTTCAGCTATGCTGTCCTTGGTTTTGCATTATCAGAGGCAATGGGTCTTTTTTGCCTGATGATGGCATTTGTTATATTATTTGTCTTTTAGTCCCAGTTCCTTCAAACATTCCTGATTGCAGTACAGTTATAAATTTTGTTCAACTACACATAAGATTCTGACATAAAAAAAATTAAGACTCCCTATTATGATTTTAGGTGCTGGAATTGGTTCGGTATTTGGATCGTTAATTATTGGTTATGCGAGGAACCCTTCACTGAAACAGCAGCTCTTCTCATACGCCATTTTGGGCTTCGCCTTGTCCGAGGCCATGGGTCTTTTCTGCCTTATGATGGCTTTCCTGCTCTTGTTCGCGTTCTAAGTCAACAACATCGCATAAGAAATTTCTGATAGTTTTAGTGCGTCACTGCCAAGACAGCATCTTCTGTCTCTGACTGGGAACAGTGGAAGCTGTTCTTGGTAAACGGGTTGCCATGAAATCATTAGAGAAAGTTCGAGTTCTGGTTCGACGGGGTGTGCGACGGTACGAGAATTAATGCAAATATTACTTGGCTGTACGTATTGGATCATCTATCGGACCGTCCTACCCCCTTCAAGCCTTTTAATTTGTTCGTAATCATTTCATGGTTTACTGTCTCATGTAGCGTAATTCACATTGTTATAAAAATCAGTATAATGAACGAATAAGACGTTACTGGAAGTTTATTAAAAAAGCAAAAAGAAAAAAACAGAGCCTCACTTGCATACTCCCATAATACGCACGTATGTATTTGACATTAATATATCGATCCAAAAGAAAGTAGTACTACACTTTTGAACGTTTTTGTTATCCGGATATGGTTCATCATTGTGCCGTCGCGTGCGCACGTTATTGAAGTAACACCTGACGAAAAACTGTACAGTGATATCAAATAAACATTTTTGTCGTGAAAATATTATTTTATTGTTTCTGTTTTCCTTCTCTTCGATGACTTAACGTCGTTCTATCGTTTCGAAATATTTTCACATCGAAATTGCTCCCACGAAATGTAAGATATCAGAACATTGTACGTAAATAATTGAAAAGCAACGAATCTAAAATATAATGGATATTTAATGAATTACACTGTGTAGAATTGAACGAAAATATACAATACTGTTTTCATTTTTGTTAGTTTACCATGTTAACTTTGAC